TGACATAGATAATATGCCTTCTTTATGGCTAAATGCATTGCAGATGTGCATGAAGAACTAGCAGATCAAAGTGGGACAAACACGTCACGTGGAAAACTCAAATAGGGTTGTTAAGTACTGCGATTGCCCAAAAAAGAAAGTTCGGGCACAACCCACCTAAATAAGTATCATCCATCCAACTAAAGTACAACGTGCTAGGAGAAAAGAATGCAGAGAGAGAGAGAGAGAGAGAGAGAGAGAGAGAGAGAGAGAGAAACTTGTAGAAGCTGACCAGCCGACTTCTGAAAGGTGACAATCTTCTCTACAAATCCATAAGGAGAAAACACTTGATGCAGCACTTCCACCGTTATAGGGTATAGCATGTGATGTATAGTTACTAAGAGAATTCGATTTGGCTGTGCATCCGAAGTGTGCCCAGAGTAGACCGACATAGAGAAAGAAGAGAGAGAAGAGAATAAATAGAAAAGAATAGTAGAGAAAAGAAGCAGCACCACAAAAGATTATTTATGAATGTCCTACGCGAAACATTGTTCGTAACAATCTCTCCATCGAAAGCATTGTTCTTAGAAAGCTCTCTATCGAAAGCAATAATGAAAGATTTTGGAAAGACAAGAAATGCGGGTTGGAGCAAGTTATCTCCTCCCTTTCCTCTTTATTGAACTTTCCCTGGCTATAATAAATAAATGCCAATGCACCCCAGCCACTCCAGCAACTGGACTGAAAATGAAACAGGTTTGACTTCCCAGAGAAGACTCTATGTCTTTCATTTCATCCTTAATGAGCTATGTTTCTACTCTTTCATAAAGCAGTGAAAGAATATGCTCCTACATATGCAAATGATGAAGTTCATCTTGAAAACTGCAGAGATATATATTTAATGTAGTTATTAAACTCGAAATTTCCACATGGCAGACCACCAGAAGCAAATTCGTCAAATATTCTCATTCGCTCTGGAGATATGCTAAGCAGAAACCGAGAAAACTACCATGTGGTCAGCGATATCATTGCAGATATTTAAGTTCCTGATGTCACTATACTTGCTCAGCTCCTCAAACAAATTTCCAAAGGAATCTTTATAGCTTACATATCTTGCCAGTTTCATCAGGAAACTTAATCCTCTATGTGCATTCCATCAGCAGAATATTCCGAGAAGTCTTCAAGAACAAAGTTATTAAACTTTTAAAGTGAAGCTGCATCTGGTGGCAGCTTCATAAGGCAGAGCCCATTATCTCATCGTGTATATACCTTGTTTACCTATTTTAAGAAGGATTCGAGAATACAAATTATCGTGGTAGCACTGAAATCACCAGATTCCAGTTACAAAGACGATAATGCCCAAGAAACACGAGGAGTGATAAGCAAGGAAGAAAACAATAAAGGCATGGCATATAGTACAATGTCCAACAATTACCTACCAAGAACTAATACCTGCTCTACCCTGAAATCTGCTCTACTCTGTGATGCGATAGCTAGTTCATAATGATGCAATAGAGTGAGATAGTTCTAAGAAAGGAACAAAGGCTGGAAATAGCCTATACTGCTGATTGATGCCACAATTCACCCATAATCTGACCATTAACTATGAAGCTACGTGGAAAAGGGTTTAATTGAAGCTGATGTTCGGGTAAGGGTACAAATTTCCACCAAACTCAGTTCCTTTCCCAAAGAAATCGGTCCTAGGGATAATCAATAAGAATTGACAATAACTATTACCACCAAGAGAAGTATAAAACACCAAGTACCATCCTGGAAGACATTCATATTATCCGGGAGTTTTCCCATATTAACCCTTCAGATAAGGTAAGCCCTTGTTTTAAACATATTATTCGATTTATGCTTATTTAGTTTTAATTTGTCAAACAGCTTTTGATATTTGAACTCTTTACAGCTGGATATTGGCTGAAATCTAACTGTATAATTTCATCCCTCCATCTATCTTTGCCCTTAATCATCCCTCGATCTATCTAAAAGTTGATCCGGCTCATCCAAGTCCTCCAGGCAAAGGTAAACTCAAGTCCTACCCAAGAGACACTAAACCTTGGGGCAGTTGACAGCTTCTCTCCACTTGCCATTCACACTGAAGAGATTGTTACGTTATTTCCAAAAGAAATATCATCTTTTTGTTAATCAGCCGAATGAATGATTAAGTTTTACAACGCTACAATTATGCTACTCCAGTATTAGTGTTCGGCCAGGCTTGACAAATTCCAGAAAAATGCCCGTGCAGCCCATCTACAGGCAAGAAGTTCGGGGATAACAAATTGATTTTTTTCCATCTGATAAATAGACACAGATAGCGTAGACGCAGAAAGATCACAAAAGATAAACTGCGGAAGTCTCTCGAGGACAGCTATACTGATGTTTGCCATTCTACTCTGGTTTCAATAACAACTCTAAGCCCAGAAAAAAGATGTCGCCAAAAAAGATGCTAACTCAAATCAATCAAATAACCAAAGTGCACTGTAAATTCCAAAGAGATAAAAGAAAAAAAGCCGCTGACCTCATCTCCTCGACCCTGAGTGTTCTGGTCCACAGTAGTCAATTCTTGATGGGATGAAAATTGGACATATACATTCCTACCCCTAAATTACAAAAAAAAAAAAATAGCACTTCAAGCTGTTTATAACAGCTACAAAAAATTCATATCATTGTAAAAGAAGGGAAAATGAGGTTTCCCTCAATAATCAGCAGAAGCAGGCAAAAAGAGAAGTTCGCATGTCGGGAAAGAAAGGCTCATTGATACCAAAATAATTATACCTGATTGTTGGCTGAACATTGGTGTAAACCTGCATAGCATTGATAGCAGATGGTACATCCTGCATTTGGAGGAGAGCCTGCAGAAACAAACGGTCAGCAGTTGCATCTTTTAGCTTTAAAGGAAAATGGATAATTCCCAGAGCCATATCTAACAGTAGTCGGACCTGATTCTTCGCACGGAGCATCACAAGCTTAGTAATGACTCCAAACGGCTGAAATAGCTGAAGCAAATCGTTCTGACAGCAAATGGCAACATATTAGCAATCAATGCATTTACTCTACTTATATACAAGTATCGACCACAAATCTTACAGAATTTACTGGGCACGCTCTTCACAACAGATTCTTGACAAAAACTTAACAGCAGATACCAAGACACACATTACTCAAAACGTCAAGATACAACTACTGAATGAAAAACGTCTCCTCTATATTCATCCACTTCTCAAAAGAACAAGAAAATCATTCTCGACTTGACTGCCATTAGTCGTCAGACGTACAGTTAGGTACTCGAACATGATTACCCTTCAGACATACCAAATGACACCATGAAAAAAAATCAAACTTGCATGCGCGGCTATGGTGAGAAAAGCAGATACCTCGGAAATCTCATGACCGACGTTGCGAATGTGGATCACCTTGGAAGGGTCCGCCATCTTTTTCTTCGCCCACCTGAAACAAAACCCACCACGCGACAAGAAGCAGAGATATCACCAACTCCTCAGTCAACGAAGCAATAACAACACCGAACGCGCCGCCGCAGCAAGACTCGATTTTCACAAACAGAACAGGCATTCGCGTAAAAAAGATCGCGCAGCCGGCATCGGAGAGATTAGACGCCCCCCACCCCCCGCGTCCGAACCCAAAGAGGGGAATCGGAGCAAGCCGGACGACGCGCGAGCGATCGAGCGAAGCGACGCGGAAAATGCGGGCGGCGGCGGCGGCGGCGGCCAACTTACTCGCGAGATTCCGGAGGGCCCCCCTCCGCGACGGAAATGCAAAGACGAGAGGAGAGAGGGGAGGGAGGAGAGGGAGTGGAGGATCGAGGACGAGAGCTTGAGCTTGAGCTTGATCTAAGGCTCCTGGTCAGGTACGGCGTGGCTGGCGTGGGGAAGGGAGAGGGAGACCTCTTTCGGGAGAAGCAGACGATGATGGCATGCGAAGAAGAAGAGGAAGAGGAGAAGAGTGAAGGAAAAGCCCTAAATTCGCCATTTTTAACGGTCCTTCCCTTCCACGCTCACGCTCGCTCCAGAAGGAGACGCCGCCCCTTGCGCTGTCCTTTTCCTTCTTTACCCTTTTCTTTTCGGATAATTAGTGGAATTTATTTTTGTTCTCCCTTCTTTAGTTGTTGTGATTTTGCTCATCTTTTCGAGTTCGAAAAAGATACTTTTCGTCCAAATGCAATATATCTAGAATTTAAATTGTTGTGTATAACGAGGCGCGCGATTGTACATGCAAAGAAAGTTCGTGCTTTTGCTTTCATTTGGTGAAAAGAAAATGAGTAATTATCTTGAGGAAATGAGTGATTACGACAAATATGATGATGAAAAAGTGATTTTATAGAAGTAATTATTGGTCAACTAAAAAATTACTTAGTCAAGTGTGCAAATAATCATTTTTGAGTCACACGATATAGATAAATATATAGCACACGTTAGTTCAATCCTTTTTTGTTTCTAGCTGTTAAAGATATATCTCAAATCAATAGTTGATAGCGAAATAAATGCACCACAAATTGGAGAAAATTTTATTTTCTTTGCCACAGCAAGGGAGTCAATTTGGTACTCGTTAATTTTTGTGGACAGAATACAAATTTTTAACTGGACATTCGTAGCAATGGTAAACCAAAAATACAAAAACTTTCTTCCTTAATACGAAAAAAAGCAAGCATCAACTTTGGATTATATATATATAGTCGTGTGATTTAGTTAAAAAAAATTATTTTACCTAACGACAATTATTTTCAATTATTTTCACTCATTTCCCTGTTACCCATCTTAACTCGTGCCATAATATACTAATTGCAGATTAAAATAGAAACGATTAAATCCGAAGATGCGGACCTTTTGTACCGAAATTGAAAAATGCGGGACTTTTTAGGGGAAATTCCGGGAATAATGTCTTTTTGAGGGGTCTAGAAAAGGGGAAAAGCGAAAAGTTAAAGGACGCGTTTGAAAAACTTCCTCTTTCGGGAAATCGCCCCCACATGCGGGCGCCAATCTGCGCCATTTTTCCAGATTTCAAAACCCTCGCCAATTCGAGAGCGAGGGAGACTAGGAGAGAGCGAGAAATGGCGCCCGATCACCACCACCACCACCACCATCCATCGACCGATCAGCTGGTCAATCTCTTCCACAAGTCCCACCACGATCTCGCCGTGATCCATCACCGGCTCGAGAGGGAGTTTCACCAGATTTATCCCGACAACGTAAGGAATTCGCGCACCTCCCGCCGTCGATTCTGCGTGCTCTTCATTCGAGCTGATCGATTGATGAATCGGATTTCGATTTCGTTTCTCACAGTTTGCGTAAATCGATTGATCGTCGCTCGCGTTTGTTTTGTAGATGAGATCATGATTCTAGAATTTTCTATGTTTGTTCTGGATTTTTCGGGGACTGAAGTCGATGGACATTTGTTTTTTTGCGAATTGGAATGCTAGAGTTCATGTTGTTTAGGTTTTGTCTCGATTTGTACAGCGCAGTGAGGTTGTTTTTGCGTTTTGCAGGCTAATCCGTTGAAGCTGGTTACCAGGATCAAGAAGGTGCTGGAGGATGTGTCGTCCTTGAAAGATCAGTGCCAGGAACTTCTAGTGGCGAAGCAGGTGCATTTCTTATTTTCTTTTAAAATATTTTGAATTCCAATCTGATTTTGAGATGCTGAAAAAATTTCTTAATACGGTTTGAGGGCTTGGGCACGTAAAGTCGAATCCAACATTTATTCCTCAGTTTGTTTGCTAAGGATCTATGATGTGCATCCAGTTATCCTTATGGTTGTAAGTTCGTAATGTTGGCTTTAATAAATACTGCTGATGGTATAATGCGTTTTATTTTTTTGGTCGGAATAAAATAATGCGTTTAAAAGCACTTCTATAATATCATTGAGTTATAACTGGATTTAGCTATCAACTATGGTGGCTATGTTATGTGAAACTTTACAAGATGCCAGACATTTCACATGTGAGAGTGTTGTATAAATGCTGAATCAACTACTGCCTATCAGATGATTAGTTGATATTGCATTGGCTCTTAGCTTAGGTTCTGATAATTACCAAGGCAAGTCTAATGGAAAATTTGTGAATATAGCCTGACAGTTGAATTTTCAGCTGAATTGTAGGTAATAAGTCGTTGGAGGTACAGACTGATTGGACTGTATCACATCAATCTTTTGAACCGGTAACAATCAAGGTTCAAGACCATTTGAGGACCTTGAAAGTTATTTTGGGATAATTCTTCCATTCTCCAAACATGTCCTTGGTTATGGAGCAGAGTTGGATGCACTGCATCACCTTTCGGTCGAACAACCTGTTCACAATGCAGCTGCTTTTGAAATGCCAAATGATAATAAGCACCTTCTAGCCAAGTGGTACTTTTGTATTCAAAGTTTCCCATTGATTAAATTTCTGTGGATCAGGGCATAAAAGAAAAAGATCATAGCAACAATTGCAAGGGATTCGCATTTCCTAGTTTATGCTGTCTGCAAAGCTCAATAAGTGGGAAAACTCTTATATTTCATAGATACAAACAACAATAGCTGAGCGTTATGCCACTGAGCGGTGTTAGCTGTATGGATCCTCTTATGACATTCCACTTTGAGTTGTGCTTATAATACATTCTTCATATAGTAATTTAAGCACGTTAATATGGGCACACCCATCTGTCATTTTTGGCATTACCTCTGTTATGATTTTGAATGTCATCTTCTAACTGATCATCTTCATAACAACTGCCAAAACATAACTTGAGCCATAGAGGAGAAATACTCATTGGGTTGATGTTGGCACCCTACCAAATATGAACGGTGATGATTTGGATATGCCCCCACCTCAATCTCTTTGTTTGTTTGTGCGCATGTGTTTGAGAGAGAGAGAGAGAGAGAGGTACGTGTTCTACTAACTTCATATAATTCATTTGAACCTGCAGGACTTGATTGACCAGGCACGGACAACTCTTGTTGGAAATAGAGGCTTACTCAGGAAGATGCAAGCATCTGTCTCAATTCCCCTTATCAGTGATTCTGAAGATTCTGCATATGCTAACTTTAACCAGGTTTACATCATTCTTAATTTCTTATGATGCTCTGGAAGATTTACTCTGTTTTCAGCTCTAATGAAAGGATAAGCTATATTACTGGTAAAAGTCCAGAAAGTCCAGATAGAAGGTATACACTACATTATGCATCATGAAGGATTGGGGATGTGGATATTGAGTATTCCATCATTTTATTCCCAATATCACCATTCCAGGCTTCTTTGAAAATTTTAGGTGCTAAAATTATTTAACTCGAGTTACTATTTTTCCAAATACTTCAAAAGCTCAAGAGTCTAAGATAAGTTTTTTCCAAGGACTTTATATTTCTCTACTTTCTGGACATGTTTAAAATTTGATAGTTGGCTTGATGTTGTGGCCACTGGCCAATTATCTTTCTTTCTGCATATGCAACTGAAAGACGATAAATGGAGAGAGAGTCAAAATATAGGTCTGATTGACAGAAATGGTTGTCTCGAAGAAAATCAAGGATACTAACAGTCCCATTAGATTATACAATATGTTGCATTCCACTGCTTATAATCAATGAATGGAAGAAATCAGATGTATTTGCTCAACCAAATAGTGATCTGCATCTCTTATTGCCGGTTTAGTTGAGTTTTTTTGTTTTTTCTGTGATATTTAATCATTGATCATATTATTACTATGAGTTTACAGTCTTCATTGCTTGATTCCATTTCAAATAAACCGGTGGTTCTGATTTTGATTGAACTGCTTTAGCAAACACGCTTACCTCAATGGTTGCCTATTTTCCAAGTGGAGTCTGAAGTGTGTGCTCCATTTGCCAGCAAGCAACCAATACTAAGTCACTGGCAAGATTTTGCTTTAAACAACCCATGGAAAGATATTCATGGGCGGTTTATTCGTGTCAATATATGCAGCTTGCCACATAAATCATTTGATCACCGCTTTTCTACACTCCAAAACAAGCATCCATGAATCCAAAAATATGTGCACAGAAGGCCGGAGACTGTCTAAAAATTCCATTTATCCTCAACTCTTGCAGATTATTGATGAGTGGACAAAGCAAGTCCAATCAGCATCAGGTAAAATCATGCTGCTCTTAAGTTTATTACTGAATGTTCCCTTCTTGACATAGTTGATCTTGACAAAGAATATGGCTGCCATAGTACCATGCCCGATTTTATGAGGTGAAATGGCCTAATCTAAGCGTGTGATCTTTGACAAGCCTGGAACCTGGAGAAGGGAAAGTAGGTTCATGAAAATATCCTCTTTCTTTGAAACTGTGGCTATGGATAGGTTATCATTTAGCTTAATTATATCAAAATAAGTTCTCCATGGATTAGTCCTTTGCAGCAATTACCTTCATCTTCTTTAATTGTACATTATTTAAGTACTATGACGTTTCATAACATCTATAGATCACATAACCGTAGAAAATAATTCATCTTGATTGTCATAGAGGGGAAAATCGGCAGAAGCAGCAGAGTGAACCTTAGGAAGTTGGATGACTGTTTACTTCTTACCATACATCCAGTCGATTCCTTCTCTCATCCTCTCTTCCCAGTACACAAGCCTCATCTTGTACTTAGGGTGGCCTTCTTTGTGGTGTTCTTCTTTGGCTGCAAGTTCAATAAAGTTGATGAAGCTTTTTGCTTGTCACTGTACATTGGCTGTGAAAGCCACATCTTTAGCACCCAATTCTGTTTCTGCCAACCTATAAAATTATAGTCAATGACTGTGGTATGAAGGCTTTGCCAGATGTTTCTTTCAAATTATCTTCATTTTCTCGTTCCCTAAGCTGCTATTTGTTTTTCTCGCCAAAGGAAAGCCGCCCTTCATTTGGAATCGTCTTCCCTGCTCACTCTCACACGTCTTCATTGTAGTTTGACAAATTTCTTTTAGCATAAGCAGAAAATTCCAATTTTTTAGTTGGTGGTGGATCATGGTTGTTGGGGCAACTTGCAGGCACGTGCAAGTTAAACGCATTGGATATGTATGCATTTTATGAAAGCTTATAGTGTAGTCATATTTTTCAATGCGTGACATTTCTCTCAGAAATTTATGACACTGAAATATGGCTAATCAACACAAAGTAAATTTTTGCACCTTTAAATGGTTGCATTTGTTCTATATTTTTTTAAATTGGTGGTGGTAATTAATCTAGCTGTTCATATATTAAATTTGATTACCAATTGCACAGTTCATCACTTTACATTGAGTTGTTCAGATTCAGAGTGAATGTGTATATAAATCCAACTAAACTTAGCTTTAGAAGTAGAGGGCAGTTGTTTGGACTTGTGACTGACAGCAGTATGATTATGTAGGCGACTTGCCTTTTATCGTATCTTTACGCTGCAAAGAAAATGAAATTGCGACTAGCACACAGAATGTGCCAGAAAGTTTTTTGGCTGAATCAGAGTCAAACAAAACGTCTGCTGAGAATGACATAATGAGCAAACATCTCAAGCAGTTTCCTATCATTCATGCAGGGGCCAAGGAGCATGTAGCAGATGCTGAGGACTTGAACAAGCTACTCTTCTCAGCCATAGTGCAGAATGGGTGAGACCGAGAGGGCTTTCTCTGGAGTGATTCCATGCAATTGTCTTCGTGTGTTGAGAAGTTTTAAAAGTTGGTTTTGGTTGTTCACCTTATAGTTGGTAGAAATTTTAGTCGTCGAGAGCACAAAAGGGCTTTGGAGTGCTAGTTATGTAGACCCCTCTCTCTCTCTCTCTCTCTCTCTCTCTCTCTCTCTCTCTCTCTCTCTCTCTCTCATGGAAAATTTGCTTCGTTTCAATGTGATTCTCGAGCATCCTTTCCCCTTCTTTATTCCGACATCTGATTTTCTAATTCCGATTGGCTTCAATGTGTTCATAAATTCAAAATAAACTTTCGTAACACTCCGCTGTCATAGTGAAGCGAGCACTAATTCCAGTCCATCCTCTAAAACTATCCTAATTGGATGCGTTCCCCATTCGTCCCAAAGCCTCGAATTAGGTTTCGTTGCATTCCGATTTTCAGTTTTGATCTTCGAGATTGGTGATTCTACCTTTTTAAGTTCTTCAATCCGAACCAAGCTAGTTGTGAGGCTAAATCGGATTTTTGCCTGATTTTGGACCTTTGTTATAAAAAAAAACAAAGAACCGAAATCATTTACAAATTATTTACGGCTTTGAATCAAATTAATTTGCCCAATTTGTGGCAATCAACATCCTCCAAAATCGACGTCTTCGTATCTCGAAATGAACTGAATTCGGCCGCCGACTTTGCATGATTTCGTGCGATCCTGATCTCATGCAAATATCTGAAATTTGATCAACAACTCAACAGTCCAAAAAAAAAAAAAACAGTAAGAAAAGAAAAACAAGTGCAGAAGAACGGAACAGAGAAAGCAAAACACACGGAAAAAAGCCCCGCTCAGTTCTCTCGCAGAGTTGATCCCTAATCTCCCAAATCAAGCTCGATATCGTCTCCCGTCGGCGATGCTCAACGACAACGGCAACGTGTCCATCGCCGTCGTCTCCGACGATGACCCCGACGAGCCCGGCCGGGTGCGGGCCCGCGCCCGGAGGAAGCGCAAGAGGCCCGGCCTCCGCGTCCGGGGGGAGCTCACCCCGCGGCTCGTCCGCTTCCTGGTGAGGTACTGGATCCTCCTGATCCTCGTCGCGGCCGCCGGGCTGCTCCTGTTCGAGGCGTCCAGGATCGGGAGGCAATCCGGGCCCGGGGAGGTGAGGACGAACAGGCCGCCGGCGGGGGGCGACGGAGGATTCGGTTCGCGAGCCGTGAAGAAGCCGAGCTCGGAGGGCAACTTGAACCGCTTGGATCCGACGACTCGAGTCGTCGGCGGCGTCAGAGAACGTAAGCGACGGTCGCAGCTGCGTGTCTGTGTGTTCGTTTCCGTGGTTTCATGAAAGCTCCAGCTTTTTGCAATTTCCATTTGCTGAAGTTGAGGAAGATGATTTAGTTCGATGCTGGCCGATAACGTGTTAGACACGATTTCATTGCCTGATGTCTTTTGCAGTTTTCTCTATTGTACAGTAGCTCATTTAGCACGCACTGAATTGACAATGTCGGCCCATCTCAGGTTGCTTGAAGCTCCTGCCTCTTGAAGAGCTTCAGCAGTTGGATATCCCTGTCGCGGAAGCGTCCGGTAGCCCCTTGAAGAATTTGATATACTTGTCGGAAAGCTCTCCTTCCGATCGGGAGCATGCGTCGTTCTCTCGGCAGCAAGCAGCACGGGCGAGATTTAACCTATTCACCGGAAACCAAACTCTTGATCAGAGGGAGGAAAGTTTTCAGGTCGGGAGCTTTACGCCCGTGATGCTCATCGAATTAGCTAAAGGTCAATTCGGATTTTCTTTGCTGCAAAGCGTGTTCGATGCTGTAGCTTACTTCGGAAATTTTGTTTCTTGCAGGTGAAAGGAACCGTTAAAGCACACTGTGGATTTTACAGTGACAGTGGAGGGTTTAAGATTTCCGAAGAGGACCAGACCTACTTGCAAAGTTGCAAGGTTGCGGTGGCTACTTGCGCATTTGGTGGAGGTGATGATCTTTATCAACCTATAGGAATGACTGAGTCATCAATTAAAAGGGTCAGCATTTGCTATACAAAGGTCCTGCGTCTTTCTTTAGGTTCTTGGGTGTAATGACATCGATGCCGCAGGTTTGCTATACCGCGTTCTGGGATGAAATCACTCTTGCAGCTCAAGAACAAGAGGGGCATAGAGTCGGTGAGGATGGATACATTGGAAAATGGCGTGTGGTAGTTGTCAGGAATCTCCCATTCATGGACCAAAGATTGAATGGTAAAATTCCAAAGGTAGCTGCTGAACTCATGATTTGGTGTCATTTTATGCAGTGAACTATTAGTTCATACTATCTGTCAGCATAACATTCTTTGTCTGAATGTTTCTTTGATTTTCATCTGATCGCTATTGCTCTTTAGCATTTCAATTAAAGTTTAACGGCAATAAGTACGACACATAAAGAGTACAGAGTTAAATTCAAATAGAAGCATGACCTGCTTCCACTTCACCTTGCTAACCAAATACTGAATCACCCAACAACCCTCTTTCTTTCACAAACAGGAAAGAACGGGTAATGTAAACTGGCAAGGCTGGCACTTCTTACGACTGCACAACTTGCAAGGCATAACTGTGCATATTATTTTAATTATCATAACGGATCCTTTTTCTATATCATGCTATCCAATATAGTTATGTTCAATGCTTTTGTGATCATTTCTTACAAGATGTGAAGGGGCACTAGAGTGTGCATGCATATTATCATGTCTAAGTTTTAAACTTATTTGATTGTCAACAGATGTTGGGGCACCGTCTCTTTCCCAATGCAAAGTACTCTATATGGGTTGATTCAAAGTCCCAATTTAGGAGGGATCCTCTAGGGGTGCTAGAGGCACTACTTTGGCGGTCAAATTCAGTTCTTGCAATTTCTGAGCATGGAGCTCGTAGTAGTGTGTATGATGAGGCTAAGGCAGTTGTTAAGAAAAATAAGGCCACTCCAGAAGAAGTTGAGGTGCAGTTGACTCAATATCGACATGATGGCCTTCCTGAGGATAAGAGATTTAATGGGAAGAAAGGTATGTTATGCTGTTATTTTCATAATTTATCAGCTGGATTTACCATAACAAATATATGCGGCATTTTATAACTTGGTTCCCATCTTATTATTGTACCTTTTATGCCAAGTTCCAATTCATGGTTTCCTGTCTCTAGTACTGTTGATTGCTTAAATGCTCCACATGTGTCCTGTTAAGTTTGCTACTGTTTATTTGGAACTCGAGCCTTGCCTCCAGATGTTTAGGTTTATATTTCATTAGGAATGACTCTATTTTATTGAGAAATAGAGAGAGAGAGGGAAAAGCTTGTATTGTATTCACAACTAGTGTCCAATACATATACCAAAAATAAGACCTAAAGGTCCTAAGGACCACTTTACCCTTTTACTACTTCTAACAGTCCCCATCAAGCTGGAGCATAGATATTAATCATGCCCAGCTTGTTACAAATATATTCTATCCTCCCATTACCCAAAGGTTTAGTAAAAATGTCTGCAAGTTGTTCACCGGTTCGAATATGATTGGGAATGATCATTCCACTCTGCAACTTTTCTCGAATAAAGTGACAATCAACCTCAATGTGTTTTGTTCTCTCATGAAACACAGGATTGGAAGCTATATGCACTGCAGCTTTATTGTCACACCATAGAGTCATGGGTACTGAAGCTTTGAAGCCTATCTCAGTCAATAACCGTTGAATCCACACTAATTCACATGTCACTTGTGCCATGGCTCTATATTCTGACTCGGCACTCGAGCGTGCAACAACATTTTGTTTCTTACTCTTCCATGATACTAGATTTCCTCCAACCAAGGTACAATAGCCGTAGTTGATCTTCTATCATCCGGAGACCCCGCCCAATCAAAGATCGTGAGAATCCTTCGACTTTGCTATGACCATGATTTTGGTAAATAATTCCTTTTCCTGGAGTCTTTTTCAAGTACCTCAATATCCGAATAATTACATTCCAATGAGATGTACGAGGAGAAGATAGAAACTGGCTTACCACACTAACTGGAAAGGCAATATCTGGTCGAGTGACTGTGAGATAATTCAGTTTTCCTACCAGTCTCCTATATCTCTCCGGGTTATCAAGAGTTTCTCCTCCCTCAGCAGCTAGTTTGACCCCTTGTTCCATGGGTGAATCAAGAGGTTTTGATCCCAACATACCTGTCTTATTAAGCAAATCCAGCACATATTTTCTTTGTGATAGAACAATACCTTTATGTGACTGAGCAACTTCAATTCCTAGGAAATACTTCAATTTTCCTAAATCCTTAGTCTGAAACTGTTAGGTCTCAGATTCTTGGAGGAGAGGCTGTCGCATCACTCACGGATACGTTTGCTCAGGTACTTCGGGTATCTTGTGAGTCTCCTCAGGATATTACACCTATGGCAGATAGTTCAGCTCTTGTGTTCCAATCTTGATCGGGTAGCGGTAGCAGGAGTGATGGAGGAAATCATGGAGGATATAGTGGACGTGGTGGCCGAGGGGAGGCCGAGGTGAAGGACCAGGGAGAGGCCAAGGCCAACAGCACGTGTCTACTAACAACTCAGGGGCAATACGGACGTGTCATTACTGTGGGAAAGCTGGCCATATTCAAAAATTTTGTTACAAGTTACATGGAACATCAGTGCAGCAACAACAGTTTGCACATACTGCTTCTGGTACTGATTCTTCTCCACAGTCTTCTGAAGGCAAGGAACGTCTTCAAGTACATACAACCCCCCTGCCTCATGTCCTCTACCAATCGTCCTCTTCGTGGCCAGATCCTAAAAAATACAAGAATCAGGGTAGAATGTTACTGAATACTGAAAGTTTTTGGTTAATTTACTGATAGACATGAGGTTAAACGGAAATTAAGGAAGATAAAGCATTGAGGACAATGGCAAGGAAGGAGTTGGATAAACTGTGCCAACCCCCTTAACATGTGTAGATGATCCATTGGCTATGGATACCGTGGATGAAGATGAAGTAAGAGAGGAAAATATACCTGAAAGACCTGACATGTGGTCAAAAGCCCCTGAATCAATGATCCAAGGACAAGAAGCAGCTGAAAGGCATGTAGTCGCATTACCTGTCTGTACCAAAGTAGCAGTGGAAGAAGCAGGCTATGAAATCTGAGACTGGGTGTACCGTGCAAACTCTTTATCAAACATAACAACTACCTTGCCTTCAGAAGACTGTGGAGAAGAATCAGTACCAGAAGCAGTATGTGCAAACTGTTGTTACTGCACTGATCTTCCATGTAAC